GAAACAGCACGAGCTCCCGATAGTGGCGTCGGGGATCTCCACGGCGTCGCTGACATCAGGTGCGGACCGCGGCACTGAGGCGAAGGCGCACCGGGGGAGGGAAGTGTATGGGCGGCCTGCCCGTACTCCCCGCCTACCCCGGACCTCTGGCTAGATGGACTCGCTGGCGCCACAAGAGGAGCGGCCACCCTAGGCGGCCTAGGGGAAGAGGGCGCCGAGGCCACCTACCCCGAGCCCCCTCCAGAATGCAGAGCTGCCAACTGCGGCTCCGTTGTCGCGAAAGAAGAAGAAGGCGCCGAGGCCACCTGCCCTGGACACCCTCCTGAAGGTAAGACCTCCACCACCAAAACCGCGGCCTGAGGTGAGGCAACGAGCGGAGCACGAGAAAGACTGGCCGCCTGCCGAAACTCCTCCTCCCCTCCCGCGACCGTGGTCGGCGAGCCCCCGAGAACAGGACTATCAGCATCCTCAAAATCCAAGGTAGGTAGCGTGCGCTCAAACACATCGTCGGACTCTATCCGGTCACTCCAGAGTCTGGGAGGCGCAGAAGCAGGCACAAATGACCCAAATCTCAGAGAGGTCATAGGCACCAAAGAGGGTGGTGCCGTCCCATCCCCAGGCGTCTGAGAAACGGGCCCCAGTCCGTTGGACGACTCTCGTCCAACATCATTGACTGGTGCCTCCTTAGCGCCCGAGTTGTCATCTCCCTCATGCATGTCTACATCAGTCCCATTGACGGCCTCAGCGAACAGATCCTCATCCTCAAACTCGATCACAAGGTTATAAATCTGGCCTCTATATGACCACTTGACCACATCAGGCACGGACTCAATATCCAGAACACTGACCAGCAGTCGGGCTACCCCGTGAGCTCGGGTAAGAGCCATATCCACTCTCTCAGTTTTCCCCACCATAATGCCCAAGCTAGCCACGACTCTAGCATCCTGCATCATCTTCGAGGGAGCCCCGGAAAAACGTAACAAAACCTGAGTAAGAGGCTTGCCCTGAGGCTCGACCTTCTTCCACTCGTGGAACTCGAGGATACATTCTGTGCCAGGTACTCTGCACAACCCAAAACTCAAAGGAAACTCAACCCTAAACATCTTGGCCTCGAGACTAATGAGCTCCCACTGGAAGTCACCTGGAGCTAACTCCTTAAGCCTCTGCACAATCTGGGTCTCCGAGACATCTCCTTTGGTTACTTTCACCACCCTAGTGGTCATACTCTGGGTCTCCTTGGGAATCTCCCTCGCACTAGGAGACTCAAAGAACGTGAGCTCTGCACAATACACTCCATACATAGTAAGAGACGACATCTGATCACGCAAAATCGGGCAGTCCCCCATATCATGTGCCGGCTTGCCACAAGTATCACATAGTTCAACCACGCAATCGGCAATAAAATGACCCTTCTCTCCACAACGATAGCACAACATCTTCTCTTTCTTGCGCGCCCACTTGGATGCCCTATCCGAATCAGCTCTGTCTGCCGCCTCCACTGAAGCAGACGTTGTAGTCTCAGTCCCAGGTATCTCAGCGTTGGCGAGCGCCGTCACCACATCCATAGCCTGATCGGATAGAACGGGCGACTCGGCAGCCCCGGCGGCAGCCGTCTGCTCGACGACTACAGGTGGAGGAGGCTGCCGTTGACGGAAACGACCACCTCGACCGTGTCAACCACCACGGTGACCGCGGTATCCACCCCGCTGCCGATATTCTGGGCCAGACGCCCCCTCAACAAAACCACCCGGAGGACCGAGAAAAGGTCTCTCGGCAGTACCATCACTCTGCCAAGCATATCCGCGGCCACCACCCATCGACGACGAACCACGGTGTTGGCCATCACCATAAGCATTGTACCCATCATCACCCCATTGTCCCCGGGGCGGTCCGCTAGTGCCACTATTAGCTGGGTCACAGGGCACACCCGTCCCTCCATTAGCAGCCCGAGGTGGCAGTGCATAAGTCTGAACCGGCCCAGGCCGCTTCTTCGTCGGCCTCGCGACGTGGTGCAGCGACGGTGCAGCCCGAGGCTGTTGGCCAGGCGCCGGGCCAGGCACGAAGGCATCCTTAGGCTGCGGCGGCCATGTCCCTTGCGCAGCACCGCCCCGTCCCGCAGCCGCACCCGGTCCCTGCGGCGGTGGACGAGGCCCAAGAGCTGACCCGCGGTGGTCACCGCCGGAACTTGCACCGGCGGCCTCTGCCCACCACGTCCCGCGGCAACGAGCGCAGCACCGGCCACCACCGGATGACCAGACGATGCTCCGGCACCACGTCCGACTCCAGCCGTCGGAGGCCTCATACCCGGCATGCCTCCACCGCGACCAGCATCGGCCGGTGCAGTCCCAGCAGCACCCATGTTTTCCTGTCCAGTCTACGCGCCATCACCACGGCCAACCGGCACGGTCCCGGCCGGGTGCTTCGGTCCAGCTGGACCCCCTCCACGCCCCACCATGGCAGCGAGGGGCGGGATACGGGCAGCCCGGCCAACCCCACACCTACGTATCCTGGGAACCGCGCGAGCACGACGAACCTTAGGCGGTGGCGGACGTGTAGATCGAACAGGAGAAAAACGATCTGGCGAAACGCATGAGGCTACGTGCTTCGTAGCGACGAGCAGCGTTGCCTGGGCCTCATGCCCAGGAACGACCAGCTCGCCTCGCCTCGCCTCGCAGCTGGCATGCTGGGCCACATACCCAGACATGTCAGCGCAGGCCCGCTCAGCTGCCGGCCCAGGAGAGCCCAGTAACTCATTCAAACGCAGCTCCCTGGCCGCTCGGATCTGAGCCGCCGTGCAGGTCGCCGGCGCCGGCTGCGCCGTCACCGGCCGGCCTTTCCTTTTCTTCTTTCTAGTCACACGCGCCCAAGAATCCAGCAGGAAGAAATCCGACAACGTGATAGGCTGGATGCATACCTTGGGTACTGGCCCTTTCCATGGCCGGAGTGCGGCGGCCGCCGTCCTCCGGTGAACCAAACGTCGAACTATCTCCACCTTATCCTCGGGATTCATTCCCTCCCGCGCCGGATCGTTGCATGGCACGACATCGTCCACAATCATGGCCACTTCCTCCTCCGAATAGCCGGGATTGAAAGCTTCACAGATCGTGTCGGATGGCGTTGGCGAATACGACTCCGGCGAAACTCCGGCGCAGATCCCGTCGTCGTCATCCTCATCGTCGGACTCTGCAAGCGCCCAAAACCGACCGCCGACGTGCCCACGCCCAGGGCCGGCGGGAGCCGCCGTCTTCGCGGCGGTCGCCACCGGTATCGCCCGCGTTGCCCGCGTCGTCATTTGCAAGAAAAAACTTGCTCCATTTTAAAACCGAAGTGCATATTTTTCCATATCTCATTCCAACTCTTATAGTAAATCACTTCACGAAAAAGAACTCTTTTATTACAGTGACCTATCATTAAATAGTTTTGGAATCTTTGTAGCTACACGATGATAAGTCACCACATGACTTATGTGTTTTCCTGGGAAGGTTAACGCCATTATAAGAAAATGAAGTTGAACTATTAACCATGTTGTAATCCTGACTGGGATACAAGAACTGGGGTAAAAACTATACCTTACAAGCCGAAAAGTTTAATTGCAGTGATCCACCATGCAAACATAACTAACTAGTGGAGCATTTGTTTTTTCCCTCAGAAAATTGAAGTTGTGCAAGATTGATCGACAAAATAGTCTTATTGTTTTAAGTCAATACGTGTAGCGGTGTAAATACTAGGCAATGGGTGGAGTTTCGTATTTTCTTTACCAGTAGAGTACAGTTCGTCAGTGTAAATTGCTAAGTGCAAAGATAGATCGAATTTGGTTAAGTCCACATGTTAGATTGAGTTCAATGTGCCTAATCATGCGTATGTTTAGTGTGGTGCGTTTAGAGAAAACAATGTTTGCTCTTTTATAAGTATAGAGATAAAGGGTTCAACCACTAGATATGTGGATTCAGGGCTGGTTCTTAGGGGCACGTGCATGAAGATTTTCCGGCTGTCTATCAACAAGGTCAAGCCAGCTTCGGTAGGGTAGCGGCGACAACGACGCGTCGACGGCTCATTCCGGTGACTGTAATGGTTGCTCAATGATCCGGAGATCTCAATGTAATTTTAATTATGTTGAGATACTTTGTACTTCTGATAAACTTTTATAATACTCTAGTGAATTATGGAAACCTTTCAAAGCAACTCGCTTTAATGGTTACTATTCTACAAAATTCATCGTAGAACATCCCCGTGTGCATTCAAATGAACTTTAGTTTGTGCATGCAAAAATCATCAATTGGTTTACTCTTCTTTTCTGAGAAAATTTGATTCTCCTTTGTACATATTGCATTTAATTTTTTGAGGGGTTCCATTCAAATGGTTCAAATCCAAGTACTCCTTATGTTCCTAACTTAATTTGTTTTGATAGTTCAAATTAAACTAACAAAACGACTTATATTTAGGATCACAGGGAGTATATTATATTGCGAAAACATTGGTTACACCGACCCCAGAAGTTGTCGAAATCTGCCTTCATGGGCTAACAAAAGTTACTCCCTCTGTAAGTACTATCTAAACGCTTTTATATTTCTCTACGGAGGGACTACAGGTCTAGTTTTCTTTTGGGTTCCTCCACATTCGCTCAAGTACCAGAAAACCCATTCGCTCGCTATTTATCAAAGTGGAAAAAGAACAAAATACGGAGTATTTGGTAACAACCGCAAACGAAGCAGGGGCCCAAAGCCCACGAAAGCCCGTATGCCATTACCGGTGCCCTGCACGCTCCATCCAGCCACTCGCAACCGTCGGATCCGCCCCACGAACCCTAGCAAGCGAGATCCCCCCTACTTAATCCGCGCACTCAACCCCGTCACCGCCGCCGCCTCTCCCCATACCCTCGCCGTCTCCTCTCCCACGAAGCGCAGCTCGTCGAGGTAAGCACCGGTCCCCCGAACCCGCCGCTGTCCCCTCCCCGCTTCGATCTAAGCCTGAAGGATCTGTGGTTGATTGCGTCCGCCCAGATGGCCTCCGAGGCGGCGAAGGTGCCGGTGCCGGAGTCGGTGAACTTCAAGAGGAAGAGGGGAGAGGTCTGGGCCGCCGCGAAGAAGCAGAAGGTCGCCGACGAGAAGAAGAAGGACGCGGAGAACACCAAGGTCATCTACGCCCGCGCCAAGGAGTACGCCGGGGAGTATGAGGCTCAGGTCAGATCGCTGCTCATGTCTCGCTCGATCCAATGCCCTTTGCTCGTTTGTGGATGTTGATTAGATTCTTGCTCTGCAAACTTGCTACCTGCGGTCCTACCACTGATTACGTTTTGTATCAACTATATGGTTTACCTTTCTTCAGTCGATAGGGGAAGACTGATCGGAGTTTAGCAGTACCATACGCAAGATATGTTCAAACCTGTTCATTTTCTTGATGCTTTTGTGCTGTGCGTCACTGCTAGACAACCTATGTCCATGTAGAATCTTGCTAGTTGTTTAATTCCAGATTTTTGTTATGCTCTAGTCCAACATACGTACCACTACCACATAGCTGTAACCCAGCTTTAGTGATCATTGAGATGTTGGTGTTTCTCCCTGATGGTATCATTACTGAGTGTGCTCTCAGTAACGAGAACTTTGTTAATTGAGCAGGACAAGGAGCTGGTGCAACTTAAGCGTGAGGCCCGGATGAAGGGTGGGTTCTATGTCAGTCCTGAGGCAAAGCTGCTGTTTGTCGTCCGTATCCGTGGGTAAGGCACCACTTGCCACTTGATCATTGCTATCTGCATTGATTTGGGTTTGTGTTCCCATGGTTTGATGCTAATTTTCTGAAACGTTGCACTACAGTATCAATGCTATGCACCCAAAGACCAAGAAGATCTTGCAGCTTTTGCGTTTGAGGCAGGTGGGTTGATCAATTATTTGGTCCTTTGAATGCACATGTTGCTTGATACATCTACTTCTGAAAATGATTACTGATGCTCACTGCTAAACTTCATTTGTACAGATTTTTAATGGTGTGTTCCTTAAGGTCAACAAGGCCACCATTAACATGCTGCGTCGGGTTGAGCCATATGTTGCTTACGGGTATGTTATCTGTCTACCTTTTGAGTCTTAATTGAATGCATTCCTGTTGTCTTCCTTGTCTCCTAATGTAAAATAAATTGTACCTGGTCTTTTGGTTGGATGAATTTACCACCGTGTTATCTACTGTCTACTAAGCCATTTTACTGCTTCAGGCCAACTTGTTTAGCCACTTGCCAAGTCTTTTGAAAACTTTAGTCTGAAACCTGCACCATCCTTGCTTTATTCACTCCCAAGCAATTATGTTAGTTTAGCTGGTTTTCTTAAATGTTGGTACAAACTATAGGCAATCATTTTTCTCATATGTAGTGCCATCAACCAAGATTTCAAGTGATCCAAGTCAGATCAACTACAGACTTGATATGATATTGCATTGTTGCTGACTAGTATAATTCATGATCTGTGTAGGTACCCTAACCTCAAGAGTGTCAGGGAGCTGATCTACAAGAGAGGTTACGGAAAGCTCAACAAGCAAAGGATCCCTCTGACCAACAACAAAGTCATCGAGGAGGTTTGTTTCTTCAACCATAGACCTGTGCGCGTCTATGGTGCATATCCATGCTAAGTTGAATCATTGCCTCTTACCAGGGTTTGGGGAAGCACAACATCATCTGCATTGAGGACCTTGTGCATGAGATCTTGACCGTCGGCCCACACTTCAAGGAGGCGAACAACTTCCTGTGGCCATTCAAGCTCAAGGCTCCGCTCGGTGGCCTGAAGAAGAAGAGGAACCACTACGTCGAGGGTGGTGATGCTGGCAACCGCGAGAACTACATCAACCAGCTCGTTAGAAGGATGAACTAGGTTGAATGAGCTACTTGATGATAATAGCCTGTGTTGGAAGGATAAACTTGTTTCACATTAGGAAGCGGATGATGAATATGCATGCGTTTTTTGTATCGAGAACTAGACATGTTTGGATGAAATCCCACATTTCCTCTAGAAATCTAAGTTTTTTAGCTTGTTTTTACTGTGGATCCCAAAAATGCTTTTGGTTTCCGTCCTCTACTATTTTATTTGGTCTTATATTGGCCAAGTTCCTTGCCATATTTGGGCTATAGGCACGCAAATCTTGTACTACCTCCTTCCCAAGATATAAGGTGTGCTTTGACTTTTCTTGTTTTAATCGCACAACGGTTTTCATTTTTGTATTTCCACTAAACTAGTATAAATATACATGAAACAAAGCGGAAGTGCTGTTCTGCAAGGATGTTATCAGTTATACATGTTCAATCCGTGCACTTTTTATACTCTCTCCTTTCCTTATATAAGGTGTATAGATTTTTGAAAAAAAAATTCCAAAATATAAAGTGTATTGCGTTGCAACACTCGTTGGATATTTGTTTTAGGGATTTGATTACATTTTCTTATATCAGGCAAGCTCCTCTATTTACTCATGTCAATTAGTCAGGTGTAATCTCGTTCAAAACTTGTGAAAATTTTCTTTCATGTGCCTTTTTTAATTTCTGTGTCAAAAACTATACATCCTATGTTTAAGAATGGAGGGAGTATGTATTAACGGTCAAAGTTGTGCATAAGAGACAGTGCAAAGTATATTTTGGAAGGAGGGAGTATCACTTTCAACTTGGATCCAATCTTTGGCGCTAATTTCCTCTCTATCCTAGAGGCAATCCTTCTCCTAATTTGCTAGTCAGTTGTACTAATGTTAGCCTGTATACAAGCGCAAAAAGGGGTTCCTTGCTGTTCTTGTAGGGTGTGTTTAGTTTCTATCACCAGGTGGAATATAATGGGTCCGACCCGCATCCAGGACTCGTTCGAGTGTTTGGTTGGGTCGAGGGGGAGAACCAACTCGTTCCCAGAAACCGAATATTCGCTTGATATGCGGAATCCACTCGTACGTCCAAATCGAAGGAACGACGCGGAACGGGCCACTCGCCCTCGTCTCCCCCACTCCCCACCATGATATGCGCCAGCAGCGCCGCCGCTCTCTCCCTCCTAGCGCCGCCTCTCCCTCACTTCCCGGTCGTCTCTTCCTCTCTCGTTCCCCGTCTTGCTCTCACCTCCCTCGTCTCTCCTTCTCCCGGCGGGTGAGCGGGCCGACGAGCGGCTGCTACAGCGGGCAAGCGGCGGACGAGCTGTTGCTACAACGGGCGAGCGGCGATGAACACCTCCTTCTTCACCCCAAGTACGAATCTTCCCTCCTCAAGCCGTAGTGGGGCGAGCTAGCAGGGATCCTGGCGATAATAATTTTGGCAACCTAATGGTGCTATCCATTTGTGCGGTTATCCGCGTGTATGTTGCTGAAGATAAATAATGGTGCTATCCATTTGTGCGTGCAGGGGCGGAGCCAGAAAATTTAGCCGATGGGTTCATTCATTGACTGATTGTGGGGATTTAATCTCTCTTTTTTTTTCTGCACCACCTTACATCAAATATATAGCACTCGGTTTCAAAGAAGAAAAATATAGCACTCAAAAAATGCAAAATAGGTAGAAATATAATATCACTTATGAATAGCAAAGGCGGAAATATTATTATTTCTTATTCCACATCAACACATTTAACTAGTAATTATAAAAGCATACTGATTAAATTGTGTGATTATGGAGTTAACCTAGTTCAGGTGCATCTGGCCATTGGAGAATGACCCAAGTATATGTGAATCACCGCCAAAAATTGACAAGTCGCCATATTCCAATTACCAAGTAATCACTCTTAAAATTAAAAACCCTAGCCATACAATTTAGAAGCAAAAATTAGTCAAAGCGGACGCACACACTCTGTAGAAATTGATGAGTTACGTCTTCAGAAATATGATGCACATTACCTGCGTCTATAGGTGGCCTTGAATTATAATACTCCTATTTGGATCTGGTGATCAGGTTTCTCTTTTGAGAAATATCATTCATACCCTAGATCGGTCAAAACACTTGGAGTAAAACCCGCACAAAGAAGTACATGGAGTAAGCAACTAGAAAATTAAAATATGAACACTAGAGAGGAGACGTATGTGGTCATGCGATCTCAGTACCTCTAAATTGGTGTTCTTAACAACGATTGCCGGCTTCGCTGCCGTCGACCTGCCGTGGCGTGACGGCTGACCGAGGTCGTGAAGAATAGAATTAGGGTACAAACAGGCGGTATAAAGGCAATTTATTATTGGGCTTTTGGGCCTTTTTATTAGACTGCTCACTCCCGCGTTGCTCGATGGGTTCAGACCTTTTTTTTTGTTGGGTTCATGGGATTTTACATACCTACGTGTGTACTGGACCAGCAAAAGTGGTTGGGTTCATCTGAACACAACGCTACCACGCTGGCTCCGCCTCTGTGTGCGTGTATGCCATCGTGTATGCTGATACAAAAGATTTATTTCCTACATGTATTGTACTGGTTATCGCTACCGTATTGGTCAAGCTGATCTATAGAAGGATGTCATTTTAGAGAACATATTGACTGGTTATTGCCACATTCCATCTCTCCAACCAAACACGTGAATAGAACCATTCCATTCCATTTTTTAGTTCAAACCAAACGTAAGAACGGAACCGACCCATTCCTTTGAAATGGAACCATTTCATTCCATTACACTTGGTTCTCAAACCAAACACACCCGTAGACAGAGCGAGAACTCCATTCAAGAAAGCCCTGTTCCACAAGCGCAGGAGAAAGTTGTTGCTGTTCTTCTCGAGCAGAGGACTCTGTGCATCTCGAGTGCGGGTTGTGCAGCGCAAGCAATTGCCGCCCACCGGTCTGGCCCATCGATGCATGGGAAGAGGAGCTCAGCGACCAGGATGGCTCTTGCGAGACCCCGATCTGGCATTGTAGCAGTGTTAAAGAGACCTGCTGTTTACGCTTCATTCCTGATGCCTCCAAATTCGAAAGGCTCATAACAAGCTGGATTACTTGTTAAATTTCTCCCACCGATCAGTTGCATCGAAATTTCATGAAACACAGGCTATGATGCGAACAAACAAGTTTAACCAATGATACATATCGTGCCATCTGTTTCCTTATTTCTTCCGGCATCTCTGGTACAATTTCACCATTGCTAAAAACCTTCAGCGCCTATAGTGTGCTTATATACACAGACACACCTAGGAACCAGACTCAACGGGACAACAACATAACTAGTCGAAGGACTTGAATCTAGACCTACCGCAACTCTCAAGGGGACAACAACACGACTAGTCAAAGGACTTGAACCTAGACCTACCACAACTAACTTCATAATGCACAAGCGAAACACCATAGACATGTCAAGCTAGCAAACAACAACTTCAAAATGAGCTTTATCAAGGGAAGATTATTTCCAACAATCTTTGTTATAGTCATCTCTTGTAAACCCTCGAAGACTTGAATAAGATTCATCACTTGTCGATGCAACTCAATGCTTTCATGAGGACAACCCGACTAGACTAGCTCTCTCGTTACATACCGGCTGATGACCACACAGGTTCACGTAGAGATAAGGGCTTATTCGACATATTCAGATTTATTGGTTACCATTCAACTACATGCTCCAGCTTGATCTCTTTGCCCAGAGTAGTACACCTCACCGTACAGTGGTTTGACCGTGACACACTACAAGTGCAACGGAACCACAGAACCACATGCACTTGGATATGAACACTTGGCAGGATGTTGACTAGATCAGCTAGTATGCATGCACATGACTCATTGATTTATCTAACTTCTCACTGATGATGCTTGCGACTCGCCACGATATTGTCCTTACTATCTTTGTCTCCATAATGTACCCAAGGGCGACCGACCCCTTTGAGATGCTAGGGGCCGCCTCCCTGCTGCAAGCATGGATTCAAAACTTAAAACCTTGATGTGATACCTAATATTAATTTTGTTTCCATGGAACGGTCACACAAAATTTCACCAACACACATGAATGCACAACTTTATGTATGCATGACTGTGCACATGAAATCTATTTAACAAAGCACATGAGATAAGCATGGGACAACTAATTAATTTCATCATTGGAGATGGAATTACTTATAAAATCTTCCGGTCCTAGCTACTCCACATCAACTTAATTGCTTAGATGAGGAGAACTTCATGGGTATGCAAGCTCAAAGAAGCACCAAAACAGCAAGACGGTGTGATTCTCAAAGTATTCAGGCACATCATGTTTGTGCGCCACTTATTGTTCGAAGTTATGTATAGATAAAGTACGATCGTCGACCTTAGAGCAAGTATAATAGCAACCAGTCAGCCGGCTATAAGCTTTTCACATCAGCAACAATCCTAGGTGGAGGGGAGAGAAAGGAGGAGAGAGAATAGAGCGGGCGGTTCAGCTGTCGCTCAGCTATAGCACAAAACGCGAGAACAAAAGCCAGCTTGCAGCCGGCGTACGGGCGCTTGAGCGGTCGCTGTGCAGCCTCTGTGTCTTGCATGCAAAGTCCATACATGCAAACCATTAATAATTTTATATTATTGGAGCCAACTTAAGGCCTCTCCCAACGCTCCAGGCTGTATCGGTGCTTAGCCTTCCAGGTAAGCAAAAATCTGATGTGGCCTCTTGATTAAAGAGGAGAGAGAAGGAACCGGTAACCCACGAAGAAACGGCACCAAGCGCTCGTACCTAGGTAGAAACACAGTTAATTGGATCCCATATGCAGCGCCGAGCCGTTCCATCTCTTCTCCTTTTTCCCCTTCTTCTCAGCGACCTCCATCTCATCATCTCCCTCGCCCTGCGCCGCCGCTCCCACCCAGCGCAACAGCAACTCCGTCCTCGCCTCGCGCCGCCGCAGCCAGCGGAACGAGTACTCACTACTCAGTCGTCGCCCTACGCCGCCGCCCCAGGGGAACGGTTACTCAGTCGTCGCCTTGCGCCGCCACCCCAGTGCAGCAGCCGCCATCCCTTCTGGTCGTGAAAACCCAGCCCCGGCCGACTCTCCGGCCTGCACGGACCAGCGGCGGGAGATAGCTGCTCAATGATAAATAGCCATTTTCCCCAAAATCGAGCTGCTAGTTTGTTTCAACATATGTGTTCTGTATTCAACTTCAGCTCGTGCTTGCTCCCTCCCGTCCATGCTTAGATGAGATTTTTGTCTGCAATTTTTATTTCTCTGCATCTTGCTAACTGACAGACTGAATCATAGGTAATTTATAGATTGGATAGTATGCAATCTGAACCATAGGTAAACTGATGATAGTCTGAACTACGAATAGTGGAGACTCTGATATAAATATTATGTGTTCTGAACCATATGCCCTAGTACAAGATTCTTGCTAAACTACTGACCATGATTTGTTTTGCACATCGGCCATCTAACTAGGTTACAGAAAGTACTACTAGTTGATTCTAGTTTAGGCAACTGAAGCAATTTTGAAAAGTTCCATGATTTTATTTTACTCAAGCACTCATGCAGAGTATCAGGGTCCAAACAAAATGTCACCACCACTATGTTTTTCTGTTTGGGCTCAGTTCAAATATATTATTGGCACTTTATGTATGGACTCAGTTCAAATATATTTCTATGTGGTCTATTAAAGCGATTTTAGTGGCTACGAAAATGCAACATAAAGGCCACAAAGTTTACATACTACTAAGATCCCATGACTAATTAAATGAAGAGAGCTTAGCTACAAGAAGCTAAGAACCTATGCATTGGGGAGTTTGGTTGCTAAGGCCTTTAATATGCTTAGCACCTCTTCTAAACACCCATGCATTGGAACCAGCCTTATACAAGTAGATGTTTATGATGGCTCTAGTCTGACATGGCATAAGCTTGCAGCTGGCCGTCGGCTACATTATTGTTCTTGCTCTTAGACTAGCCACAATGGGTAGTAACATAGAGTAGTAACATGGACATGTTACTACTCTATGTTACTACCTCTATAGTGGAAAGTAACATATATGTGGTAACATGCAATACTTCATTTATTATGCTATAGACTCATCTTGCCTTGATATGTGTGATGTTACAGTAACTAGCTAAGTTACTAGAACCACCTCTCTCTTCATTAACTCATTGCCACATAGACAAATTTGCTGAGTTGGACTTGAAGTTACTGCTGAAGTTACTCCCACTGTGGCTAGTCTTATGCACATGCCCACTCAGCTAGACTGACATAATTAAATTCATCTATCATGAAGTAGTGATTGCATAATTAATGTTCAGATTTGAGGCGTTGCAATTGGTCAAGTGTCAGTAACTCTGATGTCGCAAGAAAAATGTAATCTATAGAAGCACATAAATTGATGCGCCCACGACGTGCAATAGCGATGGATTAACTACAGTTCAACAGCTTTGGTATGCGGCGGCAAGCACCCTGCATGTGATACGATGAAGACGAAATGACCCTCGGCGGGAGCCATATCAAGTTGATCATCATTTTTGTGTTCTCCGCAGGGTGTGGGGAAGCACAACATCTTCTGCATCGAGGACCTTGTGCACGAGATCTTGACCGTTGGCCCACACTTCAAGGAGGCGAACAACTTCTTATGGCTATTCAAGCTTAAAGTACCGCTCGGCGGCCTGAAGAAGAAGAGGAACCACTACGTCGAGGGTGGTGACGCTGGCAACCGTGAGAACTACATCAACCAGCTCGTTAGAAGGATGAACTAGGTTGAATGTGCTACTTGATGATAATATCCTGTGTTGGAAGGATAAACTTGTTTCACCTTAGGAAGCGGACGAATGAATATGCATGCATTTTTTGTATTCAGAACTAGACATGTTTGGATGAAATCTCACATTTCCTCTAGAGGGTTTGAGTCATTAATGCTTTTACCGTGGGTTGCAAACGTGCTTTTGTTTCTGTTATCTACCATATATTATTTGGTCTTACAATAGTCGGTTACTCGTTCTGCCCAGCTGCCTTTGCCATATTTGAGATATTGGAACCCAAGTCTTTTGTGTTAATTTTCTCTATACTGGAGGCAATTGTTGTATACCGGAGTCAGTTGTACTACTTTTGCTGTGTAAGGTGTTGCTGTTTCTTCACTGCTGTTGGTGTTCAAAAAAACGAGACCAACCCGGGCTAGACTAGCCTGTTGGCAAACTCCATGAGGTGGGCGAGTCGGTGCATCGCCAGGGCTCCGCGCGCCTTAAGGCCCCGATTGGTTCGTCGTTTTGGGGCCCAATACACCTGTAAAATAAAAACGGATGGGCCTCGTATTGGTGCTTGCATGTCATTTCTGGGCCGTAAATTTTACACCGGTTTTCTTGTTTACACCCGTATTATAGGCTGATTGAGGACATTGGAAAAGGATGCCAGGGAGTTTACGGAGTCATCATTAGAGAGATTAGATTAAGATCACCTTCCACATGTAAATTTACTTTCGAAAGGCGTGAGGCAAATGTTGAAGCTCATAAGTTAGCTAAACATTCACTGTCCTTATTGTCAGGGCGTCATGTGTGGTTAGGCCAGCCACATGACCAAAATTGTATCCCATATTCGGTGGACTTTGATTAATAAAAGGTCTTTCCCCTAAAAAAACCCGTATTATAGGCCCATATTCGATACAGACCAACGCCCGTCGTTTTTCCCCACATCGCCTGTTGCTTGAGACCTAGATCGAGGTTGCGCCGCCAACGTTCGCGACGGCGACGTGGTGAGGCGCCGAAGACGTTGGCCACGATGTGGGTTAGCCCCGCCGACGATGGTGACTCGCTCCTGGCCGCGACGGCGACGTTGGCCAGCAGTCGTGACCTCACCGTGATGGCGAATCGCTCCTCCTCCTCCAAGCGGCCTCCTATGCTCTACCAAGGTATTCTCCCTCCTCCTCTGCTCCCCCTCCTTATCCGGCCAGCTGGCGGCGGAGCACTCCTCCTTGGCGACGTGGCAACCCTCCTGTCAGTTAATATCTGCTGTATGCTGGAAAGAGGCGAATTCTATGCCAACCGTGCTGCGTTTATATGTGAAAAAAAAACTGAAGATAACCCCTTTGTTGCAGGAGAGAAGAATTCCAAAGATTATCCCACCGGGCAGAAGAGGTGATTGATATTGGGGCTGGCGGTGATTCTTTGGTCAAATAGGAGCTTTCTAAGCTGGAGGTGATCCAGATTAGTTGAGTTATTTTGCATCTCAAAGGAATTAGTTAAGTTCTTTGCATACTAGTGGTGTATGTGGTATACTAAAAATTCAGAGAATTTTTGATTTTATTTGGATGGATTTTGGAGTATCTTATTTTGGCTTTGCAATGTGTTTCATTGAATTTTCACTGGAAACAAAGAATTTCAGATCTTTTTTCTCTTTATTTCCAGATTACACATTTTTTTCATATTTTAGTTTTGAAAATAATCAGGGAAACAATCACATATTTGAATTCTAATAATTAAACAAGTACATAGACCTCCTTTGTATTTCATATAGAAAAAAATACCCTGTACACTGATCCTGTAAATACTAGGATTCTCTCAATACAAAACATATCAGCATCTACAATTTGATCACTACACCATTGGCTTGCGACATAATCCATCCTTCATCTTTGTTTGGTACACTAAAAGCTGTATTGATTCTCTTCTCTATTTTTAAAAGCCGAGCTATATTGTACATTGCCTGTAGAAATAATTCATGTGTACATAAAGAAAGAAAATGCCAACCTTAATGAGCATCATCTTTATTCAAGGGATGAATGATAAGTACCTTTCAACTGTCCTAACTTACATAGTATACAGTATGTTCTATCTTTTCAGACGCTTTCTCACTTTTGCATTTTGATGCATCTGCTGAGGATAACATATATAATTGCGGCACCTATTGTTGCTACTGATGTCATTGGCTCATTGCTGTCTTCTTTGTGCAATGCAGAACTGGTAGAGTGATTTGGAGGATTCAAGATTCTGTGAAGCTCCTTTTGACATTTAAAGCTCGGATCTGAAGGTACTTAATTAGCTCAAAAGCATTAGGAGGGCGATCAGTCAGTTCTATTTGGTGTTGGTAAATATCTATCACTAGTCTTGCATGGTAAAATCAAGGTTACAAGATGTACAACAAATACTGCACAAGATGTACCCTTGCATTGATTACTCAATTATCTTTTTTATGATCTATGATGTACCTTTAGAAGGGGAGCCTTGGCGCAGTGGTAAAGCTGCTGCCTTGTGACCATGAGGTCATGGGTTCAAGTCCTAGAAACAACCTCTTACAGAAATGTAGGGAAAGGCTGCGTACTATAGATCCAAAGTGGTCGGACCCTTCCCTGGACCCTGCGCAAGCGGGAGCTACATGCACCAGGTTGCCTTTTTTTATGATGTACCTTTACATGATATGTTATTTCATTGAATAGATGCAGCCTTGTTTAGATGGAATTCTCTCTTTCTAGGAAATAAATTCACTACGATGGAGGTCCCGACCCATTTCAAAGCCGGGCAAGGGGCCATGGTGGGTTCCGGTGCTCTTGCCGGGCTTCGGGCGACGTGATTGGTGGCGGGGCGTGCGGCGGCCGAGATGACGGGCCGGATCGTGCCCCCCCGCCCCCCCCCCCCGAGACTGGCCGGGGACACAGGTGTGGATGCCCCCTACTGTGGGGGCTTCGACATAGGTCCCGTGGCTGATGTCGGGCTAGGAATGAAAGGAGATCCCTTTCTTTCCTCCTTCGTGAGGTTGGTGCTTCGTGATGTGGATGGATGGTGGTGGCTTGGACGTGGATGCCAAAGTGGCGGCTTCGGATGGCGGTCCGCATGGTTGGCTCTCCGGCGGGAACCATGTCGGTGGTCGTGGCTCTCCCTCTTGGTCATGTGGGCGACAGGTGGGCAGCGGTGGGTGGCCCGGGCGCTCTCCCTGTTGCTGGCAGTGGAGTCGCCCTGATCCGGACATGGGGAGATGAGCTCGTTACGCCTGTCCTGCAGACGCCGTGTGGCACGGGGGAGTGACTGAGCGAAAGCACTGCGCTTTGTCGCCGCCGCTGCCGATGCTTGCGGGCGCCTCTTTGTGCCAGGGTTCCGGGTGAAGACCTTAGTCCTTCTGGACTCGGCAGCGGCGACACCTTGCGCCGTTTTCCCTCCTGGGGGCGTTGTCGTGGAGCTTAGGTGTTCAGGGCTGTGTGTGGCGTTGTACTCAGTTTTCCCAATGCTTTCTTTCGATAGCGTAGTAGTCATGCTCTGCGTGCGTCGGTGATCTTGGCATTGGCATTGTATGAGGGCTACCTTACCATCTTGTATCGTTCGGCCGTGTATTTGGTTCGGTGTTTGCTTTATTTATAAAAGCGGGGCGAAAGCCTGTTTTGAGATAAATTCATTATTTATGGGAGCAATCATAGGATATCATTGTGCATTCAGTAACATAAGATGTTATAGTTTTGGCTGCTTTTCATATAGATGTCTGTCTGATTTCCTCACTTGCTACTCCATGTGAGTTGCTCATTTCTAAGAGAAAGATTGCTCTCCTATGATTATCCCTGTTTTCATTATCTCAGTTTACATGTGTTGATTTGTTCCAAAACTTGCATATAGTTCTATATTCTCATTATTATTATTTTTGTTATTTTTTACAGGTGTGGTATGCACCTAATTATTGTTGCAGATGTGGGAATCCCATGGCAATTTTGTGAAATTCAACCGCTTCTGCTATAATCTACGAACCATCATAGCAAGTCCAACGATATCTAATTGGTGCTAGTTCTTGCAAGCAATTCGTTTCGTTAAGGCTGTGAGATGTTTCTTTCAAAAAACCTGGGAAGATTTTCTGTAATAATTCTAGGAAGGAGTGAATGGTTCTCGTGTTTATGTTCAGATTTTTAAAGCAGATGAATGATCTTAGCTATTATTTGTTTGGCTTTTGAATCAAATAGCTCTCATTTGTCAAGGGTAATAATTAGAATGGCTCACATTTGTTATGATACTCAATGTTCGTTGCGATGTGAACGAAAATTGTTTTCAGTATGCAGATCAGAAAGTTCATTCTTTTTGCAATCGGATTACGACCTGGGAATGTTACAACCGGATTACAACCTGAAAGTGTAGATATTTACAACCGGAAAAGAAAACCAACAATCCAAGCGGGGCCTAACTAGTTTGTAGCCTACTGGTTTGGCGCATCGATGCATCGGGAAAGGGGATTGCCGCTCAAGCTGTGGGAGATAGGCCGGCAGTTTAAGCTTCATTCCTAATGCCTCCAAATCCAAAAGGTTCATAACAAGCTGTATTCTTTGTTGGATTTCTCTCACCGGCTGTGATGCGAACACACAACTTTAACCAAGGATACATATGTGCCATCTGTTTCCTTGTTTCTCCCCAGTTGGCATCTCTGGTTCTAATTCACCATTGTTAAAAAACTTCAGCCCATAGTTTGCTTACACGCGCACGCGCACACACACAGGGACCAGACTCAACATGACAACAACATAACTAGTCAAAGGACTTAAACCTAGACCTACCACAACTCCCAACAGGACAACAACATGACTAGTCAAAGGACCTAGACCTACCGCAACTAAGTTCGTCATGATGATGGACCAATCCAAACACCTTATATTTATATTTTATAGTAGTAGTACGTAGTAGGAAAACCTGTTCAATCTTCGACTCTCAAACATGGCAAGCTAGCAAACAATGACTTAAAAATGGGCTTTATCAGGGCAAGAGTACTTCCAACAATCTTTGTTACTTGTCATCTTTTG